AAAAAAAAGGTGAGTGTGATTGGGCTTTTCTCGCCCCTCCAATTCCCTTTTAAAAAAATTAATTCGGTGGTGCTCCGAGTGCAGGGTCATCATGCACGCGTCAGTGGTCACCAATGTAGGACTGGTCGTGGACGCCGTCATTCTTGAGCGGTGTATGGACGAGAATGAGTTTTTTGACGAGAGCGGACATGGAATTATGTTCACCGGTGACAGCGCCCATCGCACGTCTTTCCAACCGTCGCTCTTTGGCTCCAACTGCCCCACACCGCAGCGCTCTTCTTTAGTGTCCTTTTTAAGCGCCACAGCGCCGCAGACCCCCTTGAGCTCTACCAAGACGTACGCAAAGTTGCCCTCTATCATCAATGACAATGTGCATTACGAGTGCCAAGCGACGGGGAAGCCGCTACAGCAGCGCATTTTTCACCACTTCGACGTGCTTCCATTCGGAGTAGACAGCCCGTCGTCTGTATTTAGTGTTATTGGGCGCCACACGAATCGTGGGCTTGTTCTTGGTGTTACACCCACCGGAGCCTTCGTTGTACGTCCGTACAAAAGTGAGGTGCCGCTACAGCTTGTCCCGTACGGCGCTGACCGCAAAACGGTGAGGAAGGAAGACCTACACACACTCGGCAAGTTGAGCTCCTCTCCATCTGTGATTAATGGCACGACGGAATTCGTACAGATGGCCACGCGTTTTATCAACGAAGTGAAAAAATCGGCCGCCGGTGATGGTGATACAGATGCCTTTCGTCAGGGCCATGCGGAGTCGACGGAAATCAGTGAGAGTGGCAGTGACGTAAACGTGCTTGAGGGGACGGAGTTGTGGGCCCTCAAGGACATGCAGTTGCCCCCGAAACTCGCGCTGCACGACCCCGTGCCGCCGCTGCGTGTTGGTTCGCGCGTTGTGGCACGGCGGTTTGCGTGTGATGGCGCCCTTCACCTCGCCCGTGTCTGCGCCGTGCACTACGATGTGACATACACGCTCCGCTACGAGTCTGACAATGGCGTCGATATGTGTGTGCTGCACAATGACGTCCACCTCTTCGACGAGTCGGAGGCGGAGCAGTGCAGCGTGCGCGACAAGGTTACCGTTGCGCTGCACAAGCAGCTTCCGGCGGTGATCATTGAGTGCCTCGGCGACGAGGAGTACCGTGTCATTCTCGAGAACAACCCAAGCCACGCCCTTACCGTCACGCGACGGCACATTGTCTTCATCGCGCCGCTCTTAAAGGAGGCCCTCTACGGTGACCCTGTCATACTTGAGTGGTTTCGTGCCCTCGACCCGACGTGCTCCGGGCTAGTGTCGTGGAAAGAGGTGCGGCACCTCATCCTCAGCTGGGAGACGTACGGACAGAGTTTCTCATTCCAGAAACTCGGCGAGGTGCAACGCGAATTATGCATTCGCGTTGGTAGAATGGAGCCACAACTGCTGCGTAAGGTTCCTGTACAGGAGGAGGAGATGCTGTTGGGTTACGCTGAGTTTGAGTACGTGATACTGAGGATGAGGAACATGCTGTAACAACACTTGCATGCATACGTTGCAACCGTAACGATGCTTTGATCGACTGTGAGTGTGTGTTAAGATATCTGTGTNGGAACATGCTGTAACAACACTTGCATGCATACGTTGCAACCGTAACGATGCTTTGATCGACTGTGAGTGTGTGTTAAGATATCTGTGTGTCTGTGTGGTAGTGATGGTGATGGATGTTGACATGTATCTTGAGGCTTTTTTTTTTTTTGCAGTGACGCCTCTTTACTGTGGAACATGAAGTCTGTGCAATGCAATCGTTTATGATTTACTCCTGCAGCTACCTGCCTGCTTGCAGCTGTCTGTCTCCTTGCTTCTGCTGCTGCTGCTGCTGCTGCCGTTGATGGAATTTGTTCCTAATCCATCTCTCTGTTTTTATTATTATTGCCATTATTATGCAACGTTGAAAATACTTACACACACGCACACACACAAAAGGGAGATGCTGCCCACAATAACGAGCCANTCGTTTATGATTTACTCCTGCAGCTACCTGCCTGCTTGCAGCTGTCTGTCTCCTTGCTTCTGCTGCTGCTGCTGCTGCTGCTGCCGTTGATGGAATTTGTTCCTAATCCATCTCTCTGTTTTTATTATTATTGCCATTATTATGCAACGTTGAAAATACTTACACACACACACACACACAAAAGGGAGATGCTGCCCACAATAACGAGCCAGATTGCGGAGTGGTCTACGGGGCAGGGCTTCGACGACACCAACGCGCAGCTGTGCGTGGTGAGCGTGGGCTTCGACGTGGAGGCGATCGCGTCGCATCTCCTCCGCCGCGTACTCGAGGAGTTACCGTCGCTCAACGCGTGCGTGTCGTGTGTCGTGCTGCCGGACGGCACCAAGAGCGGCACCTTGTCACGGGTCGCGTCAGCCCTCGCTGCGTCGCTGCGCGGCGTGAAGGGCGAAGACGTGCAGGTGCACGTCGCTGAGGAGGGCACCTCCACACGGACCCGCTGCTCGTACTACCAGAGCGGTGGCGTGGTTGTGCTGTGCGGCCGCATGTTGTGCGCCGACCTGCTGCACCGCCGCGTGTCGCGTGAGCTGGTGGGCGCGGCAGTCGTGCTGCTGCCGCACGGCGGCCCGCAGCGGGCGGACAGTGTTGTGCCTAGTATTGCCTTCTGCGCGGAGATCCTGCTGCGCGGTGGAGGCGCCGTGCTGTTGCCGTCGCGCCGACGCCGCCCGCCGTTTATTCTCCTATCCGACGACCCGTGCTTTCTGCGACATTTGGTGCAGCGGCGCCGCTTGGGGCAGGAGACATTCCTCGCGAAGCTGCACGTTGATGATCTGCAGCTTTTCCCGCGCTTTCGCCTTGACATTCTGCGGCATTTCGAGCGCCTGGCGGCGCAGCGGCCGCTCACCGTGGAAAGAGTGGCGG